GGTTATCATCATCAAGTCATGAGGCCCTGTAAATCCTAACCTCGCACTTGTGAAGCCTTATCCTAGGTATCGATTACTATTGTCGACACTATCACCCTCTCTATCTATTGCTCTTATCTCTTTGTTGTCATCCCGTAATTTTCACAACCTCACCCGTTGATTCCACTCACTTCGAAGGCTCTTACCTCGTCCCATCCCTCACCATCAATAGCCACCCTATCCTCCACCTCCCCTCCTCTTCGCATCGTTAGATAATGATGACGCCTTACGACGAGAAAAAAGTAGCAACGATAGATATTTATGATATTATAGAAAAAAAAACACCAAACGAGGAGCTTTCATCTTACTATTCATAATCCCTTAAAAAATTAATAAAATAATATTATACTATTCATACTCCTCTAATTCTATTTCAATCTTGCTTTTTTTTTCCTTTTTTCCTTTCTTACAGCCTGACTCTCCCCGCGGCATGTGCATCCTACTAACTTGCAAAGGCTTGGAACATAACATCTTCTAAGTTAATATAATTAGCCTATAAGATTATATCTTATGAACTATTACAGAATAATGTATATAACCTTAAAGATATTAAATCATTATAACAAACATTAAAAACTATTTTTTACATTCTCCTTTTCGATCTTCAATTTGTCCTATATTATCATTTATCTTTTTTTTATCATTTTACATCACCTCCATTGATTAAGAGGAGCAGGAGGGAAAAAAAAATAAGAAAAAATAAAAAATATTATAAATAAGAAGTGAAGAGATTTTGTTAGAATTAAGTTATAAATTGAGAATATATATATATATATGTCTATTTACAAAAGGATAACTTAGAAATATTTAAAATTCTTAACAAAAGTCATAAATAAAAAATAAAAAATAATAATCTCTAATGAGAAATCTAAATGACAATCTAGAATTTTGCATGTCGTATTTGCAAGCATCTCCCACGTCGCCCTTTTCTATACCGGTACTGTCTCCTTCTGTCTCCTTGGTTACATTTACAAGAAGGAATGCCGTACAAAGCAGCTACAACTGCATCTATGTGGTATTTGATGCTGTGTTTTTCTTATTTTTGCCATATATTTTCGATTGCAAACAACCAAAAATTGCTAGATGCATCATTTCCAACTTGGCTGGTGATTCAAGCAAGACAAAGAATTGAATTGAACCAAACACAGCTCATGCACTTTATGTCTAATGTCATGTTCAATTAATCCCATTCCATACCATCATTTTGAAGTCGCTATTTTTACCCTTCTTCTAACCCCCACCGTATGGAAAACCAAAAACAAAAAAACAAAACAAAATGACTTTCTTGAGGTGAGGCACGTTATTTTAAATTGAATCCGATTTTAATTAAGATAATTAACATTATTTTTAAAAATTGTTAAAAGAATGATTAGGGAATTCATTTGGAAGCACATTAGATATTGTTTTAAAGCAAATTCTTGTCCTCGTACTAGACTTTGTCAAAAAAAAAAAAAATTGCTTTATGATTATGAGGAGATTCCATCCCACCAACACAAACATGGAGGAAAACGAATTTTTTTTATTTTTGAAGAGTAACAAAAAAAAAGGAAAATAAAATTATGTGAAGTGCATATGATACAAGTTTCTTGAGGAGTCCTCACTAAAAAAAAATAAGTAGGCGATCGATCTTTTGCGACCCTTAGTGATCTAAACAATTATATATTAATGAAGCCATAATGATTGAATAAGAAAATACGGATGGAATAACTTCCAAAAGAACAAAAGACAAAGGTTCTCTCCATAGAACCTTTCACTTGTGTTTTGTGTTGCACGCATGCACCTCAAAACAAAAGAAAATTCTTGATACATAATCTATGATCGAATCAAATTTTACATAATTGGAAAGGTATCAATAGGCAAATATGATATTTTTTTTCCAAATGAGATGACATCAAATCAAAATCAAACTATTCTTTGGCATCCTCTTTTCATTTAATATTTGTTTGAGTTCCTAAGCAAGCTTCGTAGGTATATGAATGCTAGTCTTAAATAGTTTTATGAAAATATCTATAATTTGATTATTTCATTCCTTACTTTATACCTCACAAAGTGATATCATGAACATACTTGTTTCTAATATGATCGATTGGATTATTGGATAACTTCAAAGTTAAAAAATTATCACAAAAAATTATGATTGACACATTTGCTCAAATTATATATATATATATATATATGTATGTATGTATGTATGTATGTATGTATGTATGTATGTATGTATGTATTATAAGTTTGGTTAAGGTTAGGAACCTATTTGGGTCATTTATAATATTTTCATGTTTACAGTGTTTTTTATTATGATGATCAAAGCACTATAGTAAACTATTTTTTATTTTTATTTAGATGATATTATTTTTAAAATATTATAAATACATATCTAAATTATATTATGATTTATTAAATTATTTCTAGTCTGTTTTAATTTTATTTGACTTATTTATAATTTTTTTATAGTATTATAGTATTTTTGTTGAAGTGTTGAAAATACTGTAAAACTATTGAAAAATATTATAAATAATATTATATTATGTCTTTTTTATTCTCATTGCTCATAGACCATTATGAACTTAAATTTGAGGCTTAAAGTTAGTTTGCTTGAAGTTATAGATCTATTTATATCATTTATAGTGTTTTTCAATTAAACTTTATATTGTTTTATTATGGTGACCAAAACAATATAATAGGAAAAAAAAAATACTATAACAGGAGGAAATAAATTCTATTTGAATTGATGAGAAATATTTTGAATATTATTGGAAACAAAGGATACCATTTGAGAAAAAAAAAATCAAAATAATCACATTAGTTTCAATACTATCCGAGCATCTTTTAGCCAAGTCCTTATCAGTTGGCACATATTACCCAGCATATCAGCATCTATGTTAGGCACAAAGCCCATATATAAGCTTCCATGTCAACATCCTAATATGTCTCATCGTGAGAATCCTCGATCAGAGCCTAATTTGCTTTCGCGTTGACAATCACCACAATAGGCTACATTTCTAGAATCATATGGTTAAATTACTTGTCTAGATGCCAATTAATTTGATTCTTTTTTATAAAATAAAATAAAATAAAAACCTGAGATGTGCTATCCTTCTTGCCCTCCTATACATGAAAATTTATGCTTCTTGATTCTTATTATATCATTCACTCACAAACAACTTGAGTATTAAAGAATTTATGAGTAATTTAATATGTTTTTCATATCGAATACGTAGGTCGATACGTGAACACCATTTTAAATGTCATCCGACATGAGATCTCAGTGATCGAGTTCTTGGATTACATTGGTGGTGGACATACTTCATTGGGTACAAAAATGTCATTCGACACGAGATCCGAGTGATCGAGTTCTTGAATTACATTGGTGGTGAACATACTTCATTGGGTACAAAAATACCATCCGACATGATATTCGAATGATCGAGTTCTTGAATTACATTAGTGGTTGACATACTTCATTGGGTACAAATGAGCAATCAAAATCCATTTTAATAACCATTTGACATTTTCATAGAGCATGAATTCATGGGGATGATAGAAAATTTGGTCATTAAGTCTTGAGCACATGTCGAACTCGTGCCAAGATTCGATCTAACTGATTACAAAGCGTTTCGATTCCACTAATTCAATATTTAAATGGAGATGAGCCGATCGGAGAGCACAAAAAAGCATGCTTTTTCTTCCCAAAGGCAAAAAGGTGATGATGCTCCGGCGTGGCCCAAGCCACGGTCACATCAAGAGAAACACGACGTATGGGGCTCCGCCTCATCAGTGGGGGCTTTGCGCCGTCTAACACAATCTCCCCACACACACCGCCATCACCCCCAAAGTTCCTCTACCACCCGCCCGCATCCCTCCACCCGTCGCCACCACTCTTCTATCCGTCCTCTGCGCCGATCACAAATCTCGCGTTTCGAGAGGCACCGCTTCGAGTACGAGCCTTTCGATGCGGGCCCCATGGGACCCACTTAAGGTCCGTGCCGGGTGACTGATAAATGCGTAGGAGAAGTAGTCCTCGGCATCATCAGTACGTACGGCGTGCTCAGATATATTGGGGCGGGGGCGGCGGCGGCGGTAACGGAAGCGAAGATCGCGTGGCCGCCGCCCGCGTGCCGTACGGCGACGGCGCGGGAAGAATCGCGAGAAAAAGATTGGTGGGGGACGACTCCGTTTGCGTGCCAGCTGCCGCCGCCGCCGCCGCGGGACCCAATCCGCGCGCCTGCGGCCTCACGTCCACATCCTTACCGTTACGTCTCGAGAGGAAGGAACGATTAGGAGAGGAAAAGGCGACAAAATATCTTCTCGTACGCGATTGTCGACTGCCACTGAACATTCTAGACTGTGGTTTGTTGAGATTGTGGTCCCACAAGTGGGTCTCACGCGCAGGTCCGGTGTGGGTAGATCGTCGGATGAGGAACGTTTAAGACGCGGGAAAATATTTGCGTAAAATAGCTGAAGCCCACAATAATGTCTCCTTAACGCCCAATGATACTCCCTACGCGTGAGGGGTCCCACATTTTTAATCAAATAACAAGTCGGGTAACTTGTCATGTGACTTGCTTAACCGGCTGATGGCTTTCCGGTTGGAGGAGTGGCCGGGCTGAGCTGCCCGCCGTTAGGTTTCGCCACGTTTTCTGCTCTCTGCCTGCGACACCAGCCGTCCGTTTGCCTTCTTCTGACGGTATCTTTAGCGTACGGCGATCCTATCTCGACGCTACGCAAAGATCGTTAAGTCTTCGCGCGTAACCCGTCCCGCCGCTGACTCACCATACGTTCATCAAACAAGTCTCTCAAATCATGGATTAAATCCGTACCCAAGAGCACGCTTAACTGCGGTTAATGCATGAACGAAAGAGAAAAAACCGGGGTTAAATTTTAAACCGGGGAGTTGGCGTTCTAACAGCTATATAAGCGCGCTCTCTGACGCTCTTCTTCCCTCGCCCCCCTCGCATCTCTCCTCTTCATTACGCGCTCGTTTGGATCCCCGAAACCACTCCTTTTATTCGCGCTCCTTGCCCTCCCCACCTCTCCAAACGCACAAACGTCTAACCTTCCTCTCTGTCCCACCGCCTTCGATGGGTTTCTTCCCCGTCGTCGACTCAGCTTTCTACCTCCTCTTCGTCTCAAACGCTACGGCGCTACCGTCGATCACCGTTGTTGTCATCTTAACCCTCGCTGTCATCTGCCTCTACCCGGGCGGGCTCTCGTGGGCGCTCTCCAGGGGTGGCCGCGCCATCCCCGGTCCGCCTGGCATGGTACTCGGCCTATCTGGCTCCGCCGCCCACCGGGTCCTCGCCAGGCTTGCTGCGTCTCTCAAAGCCGCTGACTTGATGGCCTTCTCCTTCGGCCTCACCTGCTTCGTCGTGTCTAGTCGCCCCGACACCGCCCGGGAGATCCTTAACAGCTCGGCCTTCGCCGATCGACCCGTTAAGGAATCTGCCTACGAGCTGCTCTTCCACCGGGCAATGGGCTTCGCGCCTTTTGGCGACTACTGGCGCACCCTCAGGAGGATCTCCGCCACCTATTTGTTCAGTCCCGCAAGAATCGCCGCTTTTGGTGAGCACCGTAGGGCCATAGGACAGCAAATGATCCATGACGTAATGGCGAGCATGGAGACGAATGGGGTGGTGGCGATGAAGAAAGTTTTGCACTTTGGGTCCCTGAACAACGTGATGATGAGCGTTTTTGGCAAAAGATTCGATTTTGGGAAACACGAGGGTGTGGAGTTGGACGAGCTGGTCACAGAAGGGTACGAGCTACTTGGTAAGTTCAACTGGAGCGACCACTTCCCAATGTTGAGGTGGATGGATCCTCAAGGTATCAGGAAGAGGTGCAGGAGACTGGTGGCAAAGGTCAATGTGTTTGTGGGCAGCATCATAGAAGACCACAGACGAAGACGAGTTGCTGCAGAAGCGGTCAATGGGGTTGGTGACTTTGTTGATGTGTTGTTAGATTTGGAGAAGGAAGACAGGCTTTCTGATTCTGATATGGTTGCTGTTCTGTGGGTGAGCTTGCTTTCACTTCTTATCATTAATTTCCCCAAAACTATTGTCACGCTTCATTCTTCTCTGTTCCACTATACATATATA